TTTTCTCCTCAGAACATTTTTCACCGCTGTGGACCAAAAGAAGATCAGTATCAAGACATGGCGTGTGCTTTCTCCAAAGTCGACAGGTGGCTTCTTTCTGGAGCGCGTTTCCAAAACTCCAATTACTACAAAACATCAAGAATCACAGAGAATCAATGTAATGTGTTGCGACCTTATTATTGAGCAAGAACAACAGCTTCCGTACAGTGTGTTGCCGTTGACTTCAAAACCCTTAGCAATCACTTCATGTGCAACAAGCACCCCGGTCTTGCAACGGTTATACCATTGAGCTAGAAGCTCGTCCTGGGACCGAGACATATAAAAGCCTGTCTTATGCTCTCTCCAAGTCTTCTTCTTCATCAATAACCGGTCCAAATTCACCAAAAACTGGATTTCAAGCCCTGATGTCTGCTACGTACTCCAAACAGCTATCTCAACAATTTATGGAGTTCTTCCGCTTTTCCCAAAAAACCTAGGCCTCAACGTAATGTTGGGAGAAAGTGATCGCTCTGGTTCAGACGCTGCTGAGAGATTCTCATGAGCTGGAATTCTATATCAAAAGCTTAACCACGACCCAAACATGTCTTTCCTGAGCTGTCAGGCGAAAAAGCACCGGCGTACTTGGCTGTGTGGTTAGATGTCCAGAGGTCTCACATCATCGTGACAGCCAGTGTTCTACATCGAAAAGGCACACGCCGTCGCACATGGTGTGTCCATACCGAAGTGTTCACAAAACCATGATTACTTGTTCTGCGGCATGCGTACCCGCTACATTCTGCTTCCAGAAAGTTTGCCCAAAACTATGGTACTAGCAGCTGATGTTTTGTTCTTCCGCCGCCTGGTCAAAAGACGACAAGGCCACCTTCATGACTGTGCGATTGCGATCGCAAACAGTTTATCCTACACCGCCAGCTTTTCTCATTCTCTCTGTCCATATCCTGACACACATGTCAAAACATGTCTAAAGATAGACATAAAAAGCAATGTGCGACAGCGAAGCTTGTGCTGTTCTCAGCCCTACAAGCATCATCCCGCTCAACGGGTACTTCTTTTGTTCTTCCCACACCGTTTTGTCCAAAAAGCTTGAGGGGATCCGACTGCTGGTACAAAACGGTGAAAGATACGTCATGGGACGATGTTGGGAAAGTACACGCGGCCTCGCATGCGTTGGTCTCGTATAGATTGGATTTTCGGGTCCAAGGAAAAAGGATACATGGTGTTGACAAAATCTTGATCGATGGTGTCGGCTGATGCGAAAACGATGTCACCGGCATACTGCAATGGATTTGAGCGTGATGTTTGAAGTTATTGAATGCATTTCGTAGCTAATGGATATATACAAAAAAGGCGTATCAAAACATGGTTTCGCAAGAGGCTTCATGAAACCTCTGACCACTTGGTATATCATCGTCGTTCACAATCATCCGACTCTTCGCTGAAGAGCCATATCCATCCATTGTCGTGATTCAGAAAGCACAAATCCGTTCAGCCAGCGCTTAAACAGAGTTGATGAAGGAGAGGAGAGCAGAGGTGCGAGCGTAGACACCGGGGAAGCCCTCCTGAGCGCAGCCGTTGCCGAAGGAGACGAGACCAATGAGGGTCTTGGAGGAGTCGACGATGGGGCCGCCGGAGTCACCCTGGCAGGAGTCCTTTCCACCCTGGGGGAAACCAGCGCAGATCATGTTGGTGGTGATGGCAGAGGTTCCGTAGGAAGAGCGGCAGCTGGCGCGGGAAACGATGGGGACGGTGACCTTCTGGAGAGCAGCAGGGCTGCTGCCGCCCTCTGTGAGAGCACCCCAGCCGGCAACGACAGCGTTGGATCCAGCAGCGGGGTCGGAGCCGGCAGCAGGAAGGCGAGCATAGCCGATGGAGCCGCTGGCAGCGACGGAAGTAGAGAGCTTCCAGATGGCGACATCCCAGTCCTGACCCGAGCTGCGGTAGTTGGGGTGGACGGTGACGGATGAGACGCCAACCAATGTACCGCCGGATGCCTTTTGAAGGCTACCAGCGCGGATCTTGAGGGTGCTGACAGAGCCGATGACTGAGCTCACGGAACAGTGAGCAGCAGTGACGACGGTGGTGGCGTCCAAAAGCGAACCACCGCAGAGATGCTGTCCGTTCTTCTGAAGGCTGACAATGAAGGGGAAGTCACCAGAGGCAGCGGCAGTTCCACCGACAATGTCGTCAACGGGAGCATCCTCGGGGAACTCGTACTCGGGGTCTTGAGGAGTAGGAGCCGCAAGGACGAGCGCAGGGAGCGCGATGGCGATGATGGATTGGAAACGCATGATGATTGTTTCGAGTGAATGAGGCTACACGGAGTAGGACTGTGAAGTGATTAAAGTGAAGAGACAAGCGACTGACTGAGCTGGCTGATGATGAAAAGAAAGGGAAGTGACTCTATACTTATACACAGACCATCATCCCCTGATCATCAAACACGCAATCCAGTGCAGTGTCTCCATCGTGTTGTCCGGAGTCGCCAAGCGTGATCGACTAGGTGTGCACTTTGTCCTTCCGAATTGGGGGTCCGCTTCGGCTTGGCGAAGTCTTAACGAGAGTCCGCCCATCGTACCTTTGGCGCGCCGGTGCGTGCTAGGTGACCCTGTCCATGTAGGTACGTTATCTGCGTGTAGTATAAGCTTTCCGGCTATTTACCTCACAACGAATGTGAAGGACGAAGCTGATCTAGCGGTTGCTCCCGTATACCAGGATCAAGGCGAGTTTTGCCTCACAGCTGCAGTCTGCAGGTCCGCTTCTCCAGATCGTTGCTTTTTCGCCCCTGTCTCATTCTAGCTTAGGGCTGCGATCTCAGCCATCTCTTGTGCTTGAAACATGTCGGAAATAAGACTGTTTCCTCTCACGGCCTCAGGCAACCGTAACATAGCCGCCAAACATGGTTGTTTCTACTCGGGGTATGTCGCAACAAGGCCGTTACAGCGACGCTGTTCCCTAGACAGCAGGAGGTTGTGACGCCGTTCCATATCCTGGCTATAGTAAAGCCGAAGTACCATCGTATTTCCTTTGCCATAGTCTTGGTTCTCGTAGAGTCCATCGAATCGACGCGATCTTATCGCGCCGTCATGCGTTGTCTCCTGAAGAGGCAAGAGATTTTGCCACATGTGGTGTGCATACCGACACAAGCGCCGACCAGGTTCCTGTAACATCTCGTGGTAGGCGAACCACGATGCAGGCTGTGTATATTGCCCTACATGATCGGCATTGTACGTGATTTGTGCCATTTTGTCGGGGGACGAATAGTGTGTTGATGTTGGGTTAGGCGTGACTAGTACGCCAGTGGGGAAAAGGCAGGAGGATTGACCTGCCACAACGGATAGGTCCGCATGGGCTGCTAGCAAAACACTCGCGCACTTGGCCCCGGCATGCACATTGCGACGTCGGAGATGGCGAGCATTCAGGATGTCGCATTATGGCGTTCGCTGGGTGACACCGGCTCTGGGCCAGGAAAGGCAGGAGATGGAGGAGCTATTGGTAGGGCGGAGCTTTAACGTCTTGGCGACGCGCGCGTGAGCCGGCAGACTGCCGGAGGTAGTATCGATCTACACAACGGCGCTGAAACCTGCACATAGTATGGCTGGTATGGAGATCTCCAGTGCTCGCCGGTGGTTCACCGCATGTGAAGTGGTCGAGAAACAATGGCGGTCGAAACGTTGTGTTCAGCGCCCGGCCGCGTCCGCGTCCAGCCTCGGTACCATAGTCAACATAACTCTGCTTCGATAAGGCCACTGTATACGTAAATTGCTCTCGTCAACATGTCTCTTGATGCGCCGAGCATGAATGCCAGATAACGCCATGCAGACATACTAGCGCAGTGCCTTCAGCCTCATCCGGAGTCTGCGTCATATGCAAGGTACTTCGACTGTTGCCTTGCCTGCACACTATGCGTGGCGCAGCTGCTACTAATACTCCTGACACCATCTCAACTCTCTGCACTGCAATACCCATCACATCCAGAACGAATGCCAGCTGATTCGAAAGGTCGTCGCAACCTCTTGTGGGCATTTGGATTATTTTCTCTGATCCTGATATCATTCCACATCTTCTCGTCAAAAGAGATGGATAGCCTCCCCGCCCCTTTCACCATCGAAATCGATGGCAGTCCCATCGCCAAGGTCGACGGCAACGCCGAAGACAAGACGCATGCGAAAACAGGCACGGACGCAGCCGTCTTTGAACTCAAGGGCAGCCGTCTGCAGTGCGACGGTCACATTCTTGGACGAGCCATGGTAGAAGACCGTAGCTTCCTTCCAAAGCAAGTGTGGTGGTTCAAGGCAGACACCGATATGCCCGTGCATAAAGTTACTGCAAGCCAGGATGGTGATTCTTACCAACTGAAGTTCTCCAGTATGTGTATTGCGGTGATGTGATCATGCTCATACTGAAAACGTGCAGACGCGCCTCTGATGGTAGACGATGGAGGGGTCTTTGCGGATCTTCTTGGGGGTGAGTATCCTCCACTTTGGTATCGAAACGACTTCTAACATTCCCAGATAACCCATCTAAAGTGGTCTTGAAGATGCAGTCGTAGTCATGGAGTGGTGGAATGCGGAAGTATACATGCTGGTTAAGGTTTATGGCATGTGCTGGTAGGCGTTTTGGTATGACGTCACGCGCCATGACATGTCACCAGCTGAGCAGCTGCACGACCGGCATTCCTGCAGATCAGCCGTATTTTTTCATGGTACACGATGTATGCATCTAGACTATCTTTCATAATTGAATATATTCTTTCATGCTCTCCTCGCCGTCTCAATTGTAGACCTTTGGCTGTTAAAGTAGAGTGGAGTATTCCCGACTAGTAGGTCTATGACGGAAAGGCCTAGCGGCCATACGTGAAACCATGTCTCAGAACAAAAGGAGACATGGCCGCCGTACCACGTAAAAATCGATAAGTGTACCCTACACTTCCTCCGCACGCCGTAACAGAAGTATTCCGAGGTTTTGGGCACCTCTGTTGCTCATCGCGCGCAATTGGCCCTTCATGAGTAATCCACGGCAAAAGTAACACCCCAACTTGGGTCGAGCCCCAAGAATTCCTTGTACTCTTCCACAACATGGGGCAGGCGAACGAAGCCCGATCCCATCCAGTCGAGCGCGTACTTCTCCTTGAGAACAATGCGCATGGGCAAGTTGGAGGATCGGACCTCGTAACGGCTGATTTGCAACTTAACCTGCGTAACGCGGTGTTGTTTGATGTAACTGACCCAGGTCGCATTGTCGGTATTCATGAGAGCTGTGAACGAGTCCATGGTGAGCTTTTCAACATTGGGTTGGGCAGCTTTGGGCGTTATGATGTACTCGGGGAACCGGTGCCTGAACTTGAGAAGTGGGAGGACATCAACGCGTTTCAAGCAGTCCATTCTGATCCAGAGACGCAGGGTGCCAGTCGTTTTGGAATAACCCTTGATCCGTTTCCGAACGTCTTCGCTTAATCGTGACCCTCCGCGTAACACCGGAAAGAACGCTTTGAAGTAACCATCCAGTGCAAAGAGCGGGAACTGATGGGTGGATAGCCACAAAGGACGAAACTCAGTACGGATGAGAGAACAGACTTGCGTCAAGCCGATGTAAGGAAGGGGTTTCGCTTGGGTGATGGCAGGTGCTTTTTCCTCAATCGCTTTTCCGCGTCTGGATTTCTTTGGCTTTTCATGGGTATTAGGGAAGCAGCGGAAGCTCCATTCGATCGCCATTCCATAAATCCGGTTGCGCAACTCTGTATGGGGTCAGTACAACAACTCGAGCACTACGCCGATGGTAGAGACTAACCTCCTGGTAGGTCCATGAATCTGAACACCTGATCCGGATTTACAACCCATGGATCGTCCGCCTTGTTGGCTTCCGGTACGGAGACATCTTTCTTGGTGGATGCTGCTGCCTTCCGCCGTTTGTTTGGGGGCTCGGAGCTGCTATTGCCAATGGCTCGCTTCATGCCAGCGCTCTTGCCTGCGCCTTTGCTGTCGACCGCCTGTACTGTCTTCGCGTTCCATCTACGGGCCCTATATCACATATATTAGCTACTATAACAGATCATAGTCGATCGCAACACTCAACAATACTTACTTGGCCGGCATGGGAGGCGTCATTAGTGGTGTAAGGTTGGTGGATGCAGGAGAGATGTTGCAAGAGTGAGGCTCGATGTCGCGGGGTGCGTGGGCATGGTATGGGCCGAGCTCGGACCCCCGTCAGAGAGGGCGGTGGATACGCGGTCACTCCCGCGGCTGGTGCCTAGTTGCATTGTGATCGGTGTATGCAATTCTGATTCGCTTGTTCGTGGGGATAGCTGTTTGCTCAAGCGGTTGCGTGACGATGCTGGCACATGCAACCCGTAGGTACCGTACACTTGCGGATATTCGCACTCTATTCCTCGAAACTGTTCATAATAAGCCACCGACATGAACGCGAAATGGCTCGGATTTCTCATCTCACGAGAAGGACATAAGCGAAGTCATTGAGGGTAGGTAAGACGTCTTATTGGACCCACTGTCAATACAGTGTTAGCTAGGGCTTCTGGTATTTCTTTTTATGAGATACGAACAACCACCTTTCTAAGTTATCAGACGCCGGCAGTGACTTCTGGCATGTCGACCAGCCAGTTCTCCCAAAATCTGAAACCGTCGATGCCCTGCTCGCGGCACAGTGCGCCGGCTTCTTCAGTCATCTCCAACTCTTCCGTCGCGACTCCAACGCTCCAGCCGAATCGCTCTGCTGTTTCTTGAGCAGTGACACCCCTGCCAAATGCTTGCCAGTCCCAGGTGACTTCCATGCTTGGTGGTGCTTGATGTAGCGTCTTGAGCCATGCCAGCAGACTCGCAATGGTCTTCTCATCGGTGCGATCGCGTCCTTGTACGACGAGCAACCCGCTCTTGAACTGACGGAGGCGCACGGGAAGTTTCAACGTATCCCACATTCGAGCTGCCTTCTCAAAGTCGGCCGGGCTTACGAGCTCAACACCACCTCTTGCGCGGTTGAAGACAGCCCATAAATCTACCAAAGTCATAATACCGCCCTCTTTCCTGAGTATACCTCGAGTGTCGTCTGTGAGCCATTCTGCCAAGTTTCTTGACAGCTCCGATACGTATAGCGACTCAGAGCCAGACCCCGTACCGAGCATGTCTTTTGTTGTCACTAGGCCGAGTGCGGAAGCGGACTGAGATGCTAAAGCGTTGGCTTCCGAGCTGCCGTTAGTCCCCAGATTGGCCTGTGATGCAAACTGTTCTGCCAGTGCTATGATCTCTTTCGCGGAAGTCATAAGCGCATCGAGGTCTTCGAAAGCGCTCCCAATCATAGCCTCGTTATTCTGTCTCTGCTCCAGGCCTCTTCGCTCCAGCCCCGCAATGCCGACCACGCGAGGTCGTTCGACCTCCATTGATGAAGCGTCAGAGTTGGCTGTGTAGCTGTCGTTAAAATTACCGGAAGACGGCCGTGGCTTGGGAATCGGTGGGGCGCTTTGAAGCAGCCACTTGCGCTGGACTAATGCGTTCTTCAGGCGCTCGAAAAATATCGGTCCTCCACCGGCGCGGAAAGATATCTTGATGCATTCGACAGACTCGGACTGCAAAGGTGAAGACAAGGTCGGGCCTGGAGATTGCGGTCTAGTAGGTTCTTGAAGCATGTCCAACCTCTTATCTATGGCTGTTGTCAAGGATGCACCACATATCTCGCAGTTGAGCAGAGAAGGATGATTCTGGTAGGTACATCTTGGGCATGACGACGTTCCTCCTGCGCTTGCGGGAGCAGGAACGCTACCCTTTGTGTCTTTGGGAGGTGGCCCAGGCGCTGGTCTATTTGAGATGGCTGCTATGGCTGCCTTGACTACATGCACGGTCGGCGGCTTAATTCCACATGCTAGACAAGGCGGTATGGGTGTACGTGATGCGAGCGCGGGGTCGAAGTTGGACGGGACCGGGTTCGAGAAAGAGCAGATAGGGCACACCCAGGTCGCGCTCGCTGGGGGCGGCGGTGCCGGACTACTGTGTCGCGGAGGAGTTAACGACGATGTGGCCTGAGGATGCGAGGGAACGGACGCGCCACGCGTCAACTGCTTCAGGGGCTTTGGATATAATGTGATCTTGGGCGACGACTTGAGGAAGCCGGCCTGTATGTCGTTAGTGTCGGGTGCCTCTACTTTGCACGCAGAGGGATGCACACATAGAATTCTGGTTTCTCGACGTCCTTGAGGAAGATAGCGACGGAGCTCTTGCGCGGCTCGCTATGATCGACATAGCAGACGCGATGCGACGTCAAGTATGACTGGCCATTCTGGTACTGGGGGATCTTGAATTTCCTATGTGCCTGGTCAGCGGCGTATAAGAGCCCTGGGGAGCATGCGCGTACCCCTCATAGAGCCCTACGGCGTCTTGGACGAAAAGCAGCGTCTCCTCCGGCAGGAGCGACGGGCGCAGTGCGGTTGTGAGGTCGAGTTGATGCAGGAACATTCAGACCATTCGCAAGTTGGAAAATGCGAGGTACGTCCATCGCATTGGGTCGAGTCGACGATGACCCGATCCCGCCTGCATTCACCAGGCCCGAGCCCAGCAGTCGTCATTGGCCAGGGCTAGCTTGCTTGCGGCTAGACCCACGCTAGTTGTCGCCAAGCAAAGCGCGACCACTGCGACGCAAATCAGTCGAGCGGGCCGTCGCTTCACTCTCACCTCCACAACAATAGATCCATCCCCGCGCCATCTCTCCCACATCTCTTTTTCTCGCCTTTACCTACTCACACAACAGTCAACCTGGTTTTCACTTCTTTTGATTTGCTTGCCTGCTTATGTCGTTGCCCTCTGCCACTGTAGCCTGGTCCCGGCCAATGCAGTCACCCGCGTATAACGCAGTCAACCCACGCACCACACTCCAACCTGCGCCCGCGCCTGTTAGTCTCCTCACTTATACGAGAGTTCCAATCCACGCTCACACCCGCCAGCAGCCAGTCATGGCCCCGGAAGCTCCGAAGAAGAAGGTCGAGTGGCCTCCCGCCGTCCGCGAATACGTTAGGCGTGCTTTCGATCCGCAAAACGCCATCCCAGGCATCTCCCAAGCAGACATGCAGGCGCGATTAAAGACAACCATCGGTTGGTTCGCCGAGCGCAACTCGCACGACACTGTTCATTGGCCTACATTCCCTCTTCCCCAAGAGCTTCTCATGGAGGAACGAAGGGCGGCGGCTCTTGGAATGCCTGCTACTGCTGTTCCCAACGGCATACACCCTGCATACATGAATGGCTCAGCCGCACACACTAACACATCTCCAACGCAATCAAAGAAGCGCAATGCCCACGAAGCTGAGGATGCACAAGTCGAGCAAACACAAGCCAATGTTCCACCGTGGCGCAAAACTAACCTAGCATCTCGTATGACCTTTGCCGACGGACACAACGAAAAGCGCCAGAAGAAGAACGCCCTCTCGGATGCCGCAAGTAAGTTTGACCAGGCTGAGCTTGACAAGCGACGACAGCGCTTCCAGCTCGGCAACAATGGCACCAAGACGACGCCCCCATGGGGCTCATCGCGTAAGGATGAAGACGAAATGCCCACTGGACCTGTTGTTGGAACGAACGAAAATCTCGAGAAAAGCTACTTCCGCCTTACGGCCCCGCCCAAAGCTGAAACCGTCCGACCGCTCCATGTGCTCAAGAAGACCTTGGCCATGCTTGTGGAGAAGTGGAAGGCGGAAAAGAACTACAACTACATCTGTAATCAATTCAAGTCACTCCGCCAGGATCTTACTGTTCAGCACATCAAGAACGCCTTTACTGTCAAGGTGTATGAGATCCACGCCCGGATATCATTAGAAAAGGGGGATTTGGGTGAGTATAATCAGTGCCAGACGCAGCTGAAGGCACTGTATGCGCAGAACTTGGGAGGCAACCCGGCTGAGTTCAAGGCGTACCGCATTCTCTACTTCGTATATACGTGCAACAAGACCGACATGAACGACATGTTGGCAGAATTAACCCTCGCAGACAAATCCCACCCATGGATCAAGCATGCTCTGGATGTTCGGTCTTCGCTTGCCCTTGGCAATTATCATAAGTTTTTCAGACTGTACCTCGAAGCAGAGAACATGGGCGCTTATCTCATGGACATGTTCGTCGAGCGTGAGCGCCTCAATGCTCTAGCTAATATGTCCAGAGGGTATGTATACAGATTCCAAATCGTGCAGGTCTTTTGCTAACAAGCTGTAGATATGTAAATGTCACACTCCGCTTCCTCACTGACGAACTTGGTTTCGACAACGATGAGATATGCCGTGAATTCCTCGAAACCCACGGTGCACAAAACGTCATTGAAGACAAAGGCGACGGTCAATATCGTGTCAGGATCCGAGAAGCCGCATCTCAATTCGAAAGCCTGCGTGCCGCCGCATTCAGCAAAGTAGACATCAAGGGCCAAATATGAATCGACATCGGAGCCAGCACAAACTTCTTTTCATCTTCTGCAGTATCATTATCCCGATTCCGAGTTATTCATTTGCACTAATTCACCACGATACCCTGCGCCACATGGCACGTCACGCGTGTCTCGAACTGCGACCTTCCGGTATCGATTGCTTCTTTCCCGATGTCAGTAGTCGGAACATGGGGTTTCCGCCTCATGCGTTGGATGCGCGGAATCTTCTAGTGTGCTTCTCATACATGCAACGTCTCAGATGTTGTTCATCACCTACCAAAATGGATTTTGGTAAACTTACGGTACGTCATGGGCGTGCATGAAGGAAGTGGGTTGGAAAACAAAATGGGGTAGAGTGGACTTGGTCTAGATGGCTATGTAGGATGTGAGCCCACTGGCTCGGTTGTGGTGGTCCCTGTGTCACAGAGAGTTCGGCTCGGGTGCGTCCGAGTGCACGTGGGGTTGGGAAGACGGGCATTACGACGGCATGCTCTACGGATGTGCGAAGATCGAACGACAATGTGGTCATATCGTGGGCCATCAGGTGACGACTGCTGGGTTTTGGAGTATGCATTGTCTGGGCTGTGGCGGGGTCTGCTCCTTTTGGAAGATTGGCTAGAGGCGCTCTGAGCGAGCCAATGAGATGGCGGAAGAGGGTTCCGAGGCTGTGATTGGGTAGGGTGCAATTGTTCAGCGG